AGCAGGAAACAAGATTCTTATCTGTGGAGCAATCCCCAATCACTTTATTCTCTTGGTGTCCATGAAAATAATCAAGCTACCTTATTCAGCTTTACTCCCCCTTCTGCAAGGCTGCCAGTCTAACCACTTCACCAACAGCACTGCCAGCTCAGCATTTGGCGTGGTAACGGGGCTGTACCTCTTCAGAGAGAAAGCAGAATGGTTAGAGGTGTGATTGTAAAGAATCTGAGTTACTGCTGAGATCCAGAAGGTTTCTGGTACATACATATATCACCTCTTATTCTCTTTGGTATAGCCTGCTTCGGCAACAGTTTCTGTCATGGTTATTAAGTTTCTCTCTTATAGTTTTGGGGCTTTTTTCCAGCTGATCAATGATAGATTGAACAGGGAGGCTACAGACAATGCACAGAACAGCCTGCTCGCTTCACAGATGGCTGAAGCGGAGCAGGAATTCGAACAGAAATCAGAACTGAGTCCTACCATGGAGAGCTTTGTGTTTGGCTGGGCACAACCCTGAATGATAAGCAGTTTGTAATAGTGGTGATCGTGGTGATAATGGTGAAGTTCATGCTGACAGGCTGGGACGATGGCAAATGTTTGCCTTCTACACGAAATACCAGCACTGTTGCTTTCCCCATTGATGTTTACATACTGCTTTCTCCAGATACTATCCTCACAGACTGGTGCTTCCCTCAGACCTCACTGGTAGATGCAACAGGGGCAGCAGATGATCTCCCCTTTCTCCTGCCATGCATGGGGGGCAATTCCCTCGAGTCATCTCTGTCCCTTAGCAATTCTCCTCCTCTTCAGCACAACGGGTAAATGTGCCTTGCTTTGATTTGGCTGTGGGGCAGAGATCCAAAGGAGATCTTTGATTTATTTTGCCTCTGCTCAGGAGTGGTGGCACTGATTTCCTGCCTGGTTACTCCTCTGAGCCCTTTCCTCTACCAAGAAGGGGCCCACCCTCTCCCCAGCCACATTTGGAAAGTAAAGTTTGCTCGTAGCAGATCTCGAACTGAACCCAAACTGATCCCCTTCTGGCTCTTGAAACCCTTCTCTGCTCTCATAGTCCAAGGTTTGTGTACACAGACTGGCCTGGCCCTGGGTAAATACAGTAACTTCGTATTTTCTTGCTCTCAGGTCAAGAAAGCGAGGTGGGAAAGGCATAATAACATGTTTCTCGCACCTCCTTCACCACTATCAGAACATTTTGCAAGCACTTACCTACTATACAATAAGCCACTGACATCCACTGTGTCTGTTTTTCTGTTCCCTCCCTCACCCCAAGTTCTCTCAGCTCATTAAAATCTTCAATTCGTTGGGTCCTGAGAAGTTCCCCCTCGTGGAGCAAACATTCTTCCCAAGCCATAAGCAGATGGTGAGTACCCTTGCTGTCTTCTGACTATAGGGTGGAGGGGGGAGAAGCAACAAATGTGAGTTGGGCACGAGGAATGGTGGGAAGACTCTCAGTTTTACTTCCAGAGAATTGCTAGCTAAAAGCAATATGGAATAAAACAGTGCTTGGGAACCTCTTTCCCTTCTTACCCAGCCCTCCCCCAGGTCACATATGGACCCTGAAAAAGTGAAAGATTACAACAGGCTCAACATCAAAACAAAAATCCATTGTAAAATCTGATCAACAAAAACTCATCCCTTAGAGTAAGGAATCACTTTATTTAGATAAAGTGGATTTTTTCCCCCTCCTGGAATTGTTGAAAATACGCTGATGATTTGGGACACAAGCCATAAGAGATGCTTGTTTCACAGTTTGCTCGCTCTGTCACGGGGTTGCCATCCATGAAACATTTATCAGCCCAACTAGGTACTCAAAGCAAATTGGAGTTCTTGAAAAAGAGTTTGTTCCAGCTTGCAATGTTTCCTTTGTACAGTGGCCCTGGGGTCAAGTCTTCCTGTCAACAACTAAACACTCAGTGCCCTGTGTGGCTACTGGACACTGTACCAAACGCTTAGGGCACCTCCCAGAGAGGTCTGCGTAGGTGCCATTAGTCCTGGAGAACATGGCAAAGACAGTGGCTTTGTTTAAAACTGTTCATGTCTCTTGTTTTCCCTGGGTTAAAAGGATGAGTAGTCCTTCATGAATTTTTGTTCCCAACTTACATCCATGAATTAGTGGCTCTTCTTACCTGGCTGAGGATTTGATGAGACCCTGTGTGAACCATGACCCCCCCTGTGAGCCACTGGTTGGCTAAGCTTATTTCCCATGCTTGATTGTGAACTCAAGCAGCATTGGCAGCCTGAAGATTAGAGTTGCTGAGATGTCAAACTAGGGCTCAAAACCATTCAAACCCCTCTTTTCTCACACATTTGTTGCAACACTGTGGGCCAACCACAATGCATAATAGGGTGTAGGTACGCAATGGGGGATACAGGCGCCTAGTGGGAGCTTCAAAATTCAAAAGGAATTCTCATTTAGATTCTTGTGAAAAATCCCACTGGTGCTTGCTAGGTACCTGAATACCTCAAAATACTGGTCCTTCATCCCTCTGTTCCAATACGCTGTGCTGTGTGGACAACAGCACTTCCATGCTTCACAGGCACGTCATGAAGGTAAGTACCGTCATGAGTGCTGTGAGGCACTCAAGTAATGCAGTGGTAAGAGTTGTATTATCATTTAAGACATAAAGAAATGGATGGTCTTTAAACACAATGTGATAGTTTGTTGCAGACTTTTAAGACAAATTAGTTGATAAATCCTGTTGCATGTAATTCCTGCTGATTTATAAAAAGGGTTTTGTGACACATGCAATGCTTCAGGACAGTCGTGACTTTAACTGACCATCACTTCAGGAATGGTATATTTGGAAGACTTGGTTAAGGTTTTCATTGCAAATATGTTAGCTAGCACTTTCAGCATTATTTTCTTGTCTGGAAATCTGATTCTCAATTCCTCAGCATGTAAATACATCTGTTACCAGCATAGTTTATCAGACCACTGATCTTAATTTCACATATTTGTCAGCTTTATAACTGATCACCTACTTAGACATGCTATTGCTTACTTCCAAAAGAATACAGGAACCTTTTTAAACAGCAGATAATCTCATCCGAACACAAACACTATTGTTGACATGCAAGCTTGAGTAGCCTGGTTTAAATCAGTCACTTTCCAAACATTTACACAAGCAACAATCCACTTGGGCAAATTCAGGCCAGCCCTTTCCAGGTGGGGGGTCTGCCTCATGGAATGAATCTACAGAACTTCTCAAGATCTTTTCTGGGTGCATCTTCACAGCATGCTGGGCTGAGAGGGGCTGAGAGGGCAAGTGCTTACACCACGCCAACCAAGCTGCAGTCACCACTTCACCAAGTACCTGTGAAAGTTGCCCACTGTGCATCAGCTTCTCCATGTGTCAGATAGGAATATAATGATCTCCGCTCTTTTTCTTCCCTTTCCTAGAGGCATTTTCAAGCTGTACCAGTTAGCACTCGTAAAACACACTGTGGTCCTTTGATGGCTGACCCCCTGGAAGTGTTTATAACTGGTGTTATGGTTTCACCTCTTTGCAATGTGATATACTTTAAGCAATGAAGTTCTCACATTAGAGATCCTCATCCTTCTATGTCCAAAACTTTCCAAAGCTTACTTTCTAAACCTTTGGATTAAATGTAGGACAGATTTAAAAATCTGTTTCATCCTTTCATCCATAGAGGATGTCTGTAGAGGACAGAGATTTTCCTAAAGTAAAAGTGAGATAAAGGCAATTTCTAACAGTAGGGCCATTTTTGTGAGCATTTTAATTTAGTTGAAAATGCTTCTTCTGAAGCCTCCTTCTCATGACAACAGGGCATTTTTAACCAACTTTAAAACAGCAAACCTGAAGAGACGACACAAGGCTCTGACAATTCACAGCAGAAAAGATCCAAAAGATTAATCTCTCTTCCCTTTGCCAGGGCCATGTACGTTTCAACCCTCCCCCCAGTGATCAGTTTACTGGAAACAAGAGCAATCTGGCATCTGTTAGGACTTCTGAGGGCCTACTGGTGACAGCCACAATGACTGCCTTGCTCTGTAGTGACCCCCTATGGCCAGTTAACAAGTGGGAGACATTCACTTCAGAAGGGATTTTTTCACCTTTCCTGGGCTTATGACCCCAATAACCATTCTCAGATAAACCAACCTCTTAAAAAGAGGGAGGGACTCCTGGAGGGATCTTTGCCAAAGCGCAAGAATTGCCAGAGGTGGAATATCTGCTTTGGGCCCAATAAAACGGTATCAAGAAAGGGAAGGAAATGAATAAATCCACTTGGAAAGCCATTTGCGTACATTTGAAGTGGACAGAAACTAATACAAGTGAAGCAGAGACAGAATGTCTGTGATAGAAATAAAACCACTTTACTGTTTAGAATAAAAGGACACTATAAAAAGTGAACATTATGCAACATTACCTTAAAAGACAATATACATTCACTGAATATAAAATTTATAAATAACATGGAGGAAAACTGTAAACAGTGCTAGAAAATTTAGCAACAAATACATTCCTTCTGGACAAGATTTTTCACATGGGTTTGGTTCCCTCCCCAAGTTTCCGTGACTATCAGGAACAGCAGAGTGGCTCTAAGAAGGAAGGACGGTGTCAGAGAGAAGGAGAAGCCAGTACAGGCAAAGCAGCAGCAAATATTTAGTGGATTTTTAAGATTTTTCTCAAGACTGGTAGCCCCAAAAGCCACTTATTTGAAAAAAAGACAAAAAAATTTTGCAGTTCTCTAAATTTTGTTCTGCCCTTCTAAGCTACAAAATACACGGTAAGTCAGATATACTTTCAGAGACATCTGAAAGAATGGAAGCTTGTTCCCATGGAGGCCTTAACTTCAAATAGTCTTTACTGTAAAAAACAACAGTGTTTCCCATCACCGTGAGGGAGCATTTAACTCCAGCCAAGTATGAATGGGATACAGTGATATATTTAGGTTTTAGAATAGTCCTACCTAAAGGGCCATGTAACTCTTCAAAACATGGGAAATTTAGACCTAAAATGGCAGTTTTCTCCCACACAGTGGAGGGGGAAAGCCTCCCGCAAGAGGACTTTATTCAAGGTACTCCATGCACAGATCTCCTCCTGCTCTCTACTCCCTCCATTTAGGAAAATCGAATCCAATCTTTCCCAAACCTTCAATACATTTTTCATATTTTTTGCAATTCTAAAGGGGCAAACACTCTCAAGCAAATAAGGAAAAATATCTATAAATAAGAAAGTGAGCAGCAACAGCCTAGAAATGAGCTCTGCATTTTAAAAAGTACTTTTAATAATGTTGGTATATCTAAAGCATGGGGGGGGAGCCCTCACCCTGTACATGCCCAAAGGTTGTGCCCACACGAGCTGTGCCATTGAGTTTTTCTTTAACCTTAGGTTGTGGGGCAAAGTGAGGAGCATGTCAGAGGTGACAGGAAGATATCTGTGCTGCTGCAAGCCGTTGTATGCTCCATCACTTAACATTTTGGGGGGAATTTCACATCTGCCTCCTCCCATCTCCATGCCTGGTGTTCCTACATCTTGCATGGCCTGCTGTAATGAGTTTTGTAAGAGTTTTATCCATTGGCAGGCAGAAGTGACTTAGCAAGACAGAAGAAAGGGGAGCAGACAGAAAGGAAGAAGTATTTGAGTCCATGGAGTCTTTCCACGGACTGTTCAATCCATTTAATGGCTCCCTCCCACTTCAAGGGAGCCTTCAGTCAGGTTCTTAATGCAAGCACAAGCTAAAGCTTAGCCCAAGAAATACATGTCCCTGATAGCATGCACAGAAACCAAATTAAGAAGCCTCCCAAAAGAAATGTATTTTTACTGGATTCTTCCCCCTCCTTTTGGCTCCATGTTTTTAAAAGCCTTAACAACTGTTTCTTTACTCAGCAAGGGGAAAGATCTGCTACCAAACCCTCACCCCTGCCAGTCTAGCTGTCTGCATCTCAGAAATATTTCACTATCTGCAATATAAAATGGGAATATGCTTCATTTTCTGGTAATGCATCTGCTGGTTTGTTGTTTACAAAGCACATAGCTACATTATATCCTACTTAGGGACATAAGTCCTCATAGCATTAGAATGCAAATATTTTCACAATAATTTGAGTGCAATACTGTGATGTCTCAGCTAGCTAAATGAATCAGTGACAGGTAAAATATGCAGAGCTGCAGTTTAATGAAAATTCAAATCAACACTTCACTGTATCGAGGGGCGTTTTCATTTAGCCTTCCAAAGCCATGAAAAGTGGCTGCAGCCCAAAGAGACGTAAGCTTTGCAAAGTCGCCTTGAGCATGAGGAGAGCCATCTTCAGCAATGCCGACGCCACGCGATGCGAACGGTGAGGGTGGTGAGGCGGGCTCCACTCTGCCCTCAGTGACCTTCAGAGTTTTTTGTCAGCTGTGCACAGCTCTAAGAGATTGCTCCACTGTGCCCAAAGCCCAACCCCGTACTCTGCCAAAAGGGGCAGCATTCTGACCCACCACCTGATCCTACGATGGGTGCTGTGAAGCACCCTACTCTCCCTCTCATCTCCAACCCGTAATTTAGGAGTAGTCACAGGGAAGAGGACTTCTGAAGTGTTCCAAGCCTGAATCACAGGAAAATCCAACAGACTTTCAATGTGGTTTGTGCTGTGTTGCCACTCAGAGCAGCTGAAAAAAAAAATACACAGCAGACCTAGGCACCTCTTACATCAAGTCTTCAAAAATGCCTTTTAAAGTTCATGTTAAAAATGAAGCTACATGCTTTTTGCTGCAACAATTCATCTAGTAAACGGGGCATTTCAGGGGATGTACGTCTGGCAGAGCTCTGGCAGCACACAAGGAACGTAAAAACTCATCAGGGCCCATCTCAGACACCCTCTCCGTTTGGCAAAGAGGTCCCAAACAACTGTCCAGTAATTGAGGTCACCGACTGTAACATGCTGTATTGCCCCGGGCTGGAGTCACTGCAATACTTTTTCCTGCTGGTGGCAGCTCTGCTTTCTAAGTGGAATGAACTGAAGATATATGGAAACTTAAGATAAATAATCATAATAATACAAAAATGAAGTTAAGCATAATCTTCTCCCTGCCCAAGCCCTCCCCATCCAAAACTCAGTCACCCATTTTGTCAGCACCCCTTCTTCACCATCATTAAAACTTAAAATACTTTTATTTGATAAGAAAAATTATATTATAGTTTTCTTAATAAAAAACAAAATAGAACGAAAAAAACTTCTCCAGTCAACAGCAAAGCACAAGACAGTAAGGCTCCTCCTCCCACATCACTGCAGGACATGGTATGAGCACATGCACAGAGCTATGCTTAACAGTGCCTAGAGGGAAACACAGCTCTTGACACAGAAGGAATCCTCTGGGCAGCTGAAATTTTATGATCCCAGCCAGCACTTATTAGAGGACCACTTTTCCTTGCCTAGCCCCCACACACACTTCCTTTCACTATATAACCAAATGCAGCTAGTGTAGCTGCAGGGGAGGAACCGTGGTGCAAGGAGGTACAGAGGAAACAATGACTGTAGCCACTATTGCAGATACACTGGAGCGTCAATATCTTAAAAACAACTCACTGACTCGGAATGTCAATATTTCTGTCTTTAAAACACAATCAAACCATTCTTTTGTTTGTAACACCAAAAAAATTCCACGTCCTGTCAAAAATAGCTTATGTCATTATGTGTATATACATCTTAGTTCAGCAAAACACTATTTTGGCAATAGATTTTTTTTTATAGTAAGAGCTCTAGCAAGTCTCCCCTTTCCCTCTTCCATGTGATTGATTTAGAGGTGGTATTTTTGCATGTTTGGTTTAAGGTGTTCACAAGCTGGTTTTGCTGTTGAAGCTAAGCTGCAAATACTTCAGGGGCCAATGCTGCTCAAAACAGGATGGCACAGCACTTCATCTGCTCTGCTGTAGGTGGATTTACCTCCCTGAACATATGGGATAGGGCTTTTTTTGTTTTTTAAACAACAACAAAAATACAAAATACTCTCTCTTTTGTTCTGGGGAAAGCCAGAACTTCAGATGTCCTGTTGCATTCACACTGTGACTGAATTAGCTAGGACAATCAGTCAACAATGCTTTTACCAGATGATGTGGTCAGACGCACCAGGTGAATTCTCCCACTGCTGGAGTCAATCACACTGCCAATCTCTCCCACAGAAGAGGATTTCTTTTGGACGTCATTTTTTCCAGAGTTTAGGTTGGGTTTCTTTTCAGTTTGTTTCATTTGCCAATCTGATTAATGAAACCATGTCTATGTATTTTCAGCACTTAGTGCATGAGGAAGGGTGACAGGAAGCCATCGCTTAGAATACAGTGCCTAATTGGCATAGTTTTTAGATTTTTGTTTTCCTAAAAAAATAGAGATTATATTGCTACAGCTAATGATAGGTGTAAGAGAGCAAGAGCTCCATCTTTTTTCTTTTCTTTTTTTTTTTCCCCTCCCATTTTTCCCTCTGGTGTGCAAAAGTAAGCTCCCAAATGTCATCTGATCAAAATGAGTGGTATCAAAAAATGGAAAAGGTGATTACAAATTCAGTAAGGTAGCACAGACTTTTTTTCTTT